AACAAGACAAAAGAAAACTAGCAGAATAGTAGCTAAAAGCTTAATTTACCAAAACAATTGCTAAAAGTAAAAAAAAAAAAAAAAAAATTAAAAATTAGCAAAAAAGTAGCTGAAAACTAAAAATGAAGCAAACACGTGCATATTAGTCGTGGTAGCAAGAATCTCATGAACTTCTGGACAGATTTTATGACATTTTCATAATTTAATCACTAAAACTGATTAACTCTTCAAACTAACCCAATTCAAGATGGTCGCCACAGCCAACTAACCGTAGGAAGCAAAAATATCTGAAAGTCATGCAATTTTACACATATTGAGCTTAAACTGGATGTGGTAGTAGCTGAGCATTATCCACAACATACACATTGACTGCTATTTATCACATGAGCTCTTTGCTTAAAACATTGGCATACCTGTTGGTGTCAACCCTGTTTGTTAGCAAAATATCTCACAAACCGCTGTATAGATTTGACCCAAACTGTCAGAAAGCAGCTGTGAATCAGTCATGTAAATCCTCATAAGCCAACACAAAACCAACCACAGATTACTCAGCTTTGTTAGAGACTGAGATGACGTATGACACGGTAGTAGCTGAGAGTCATCCTGGAAATATATTTCAAGTGCCACATCTCCCAAGATCTCCCAAGATCACATTAAATCACACGACATCCTTACAAGGTTTGACCAAAATGGCTAAAACTTATTTCTCACTTCATAAAATTATTTTATTCTACAACTCTGGCATGAACGACAGCGGGTGATATGCATTTATATAAAGAACAGCATGCCTTTAATTATATACATTTATTTCTTTTGCATATAAAGTATTATTGTGGATAAATTAATAACCTGTGTTGAATAATAAATTCCACAGATTGTGGCTTTCTTGACTGAAATAAGAAACGTGCTAAATGCAGAGCTAATTTATGGTTCTAAAATCCATTTATTTTTTCTTCTTAACCAAACAGAAGGCAATTTATTTATTTATTTTTAAATAATATTAGGCACCACAGACTTATTAGTGTACTTTAATCAGTTTTATATTTAAAATTATATTTATTAAAAAAAAATTGAACTACTCTGATCTTTCACAGAACTCTTTTTGGTACCACTTTACAATAAGGCTCCCCTTATAGATGCTAATAAATAGTTTAAAGATATGTTATTAATTCCTCTATAAACACTTTATAAATATTAATAATTGTTTATTATGCATTAATTAAGGGTAACAGTGAGACAAAACTGAACAGTTTCCTGCCAAATAGTGAGACAAATCTGTTCACCTTTATATTTCATTGTTATATTAAAAATTTCAGACTAAGTTACCACCTTGTAAGCACACATTTGTAAACCTATTCCTTTAGCATATAATATTGTACTTTATCACTACATATCAGTATCTACAACTAATAATATATCCTAAAAAAAAGGTTTATAAATTCTTATTGTGCTTACAAAATAGTAACTTAGTGTGAAATGTTTAATATAACAACTCTAGATGAAATATAAAGGTGAACAGATTTGACTCACTATTTGGCAAGAAACTGGTCAGTTTTGTTTCTCTGTTACCCTTAATTAATGCATAATAAACAATTATTAAAATGTATAAAGTGTTTATAGAGGAATTAATAATGCATCTATAAATTATTTATTAGCCAGCTATAAGGGGATCCTTATTGTAAAGTGGTACGCACTTTTTGAAGTTGTGTTGCAATACATTTAGTGTAAGAAATTCAATTTTGGAATTATTGTGTATGCATTTTGTATTCTTTATGTGAGATGTATTGATAGGCAAAACATTTTACTTTGTAAAAGCCTCGATTGACTTTAATTTTACACACCAGCCCCCCTTTGTGATTCTTTAAACAATTCATATATGAACAAATCCCCAACCAGCAAAGAGCAAAAGCAGAGTGGTTCTCAGCTGTGCACTGTCCTGGTTCTCCTAAAGATAACAGTTTTTGCAGCTCCTCTCCCTTTTCTTTTTAAGTGATTGCAGTTGCTTGTCATTTAATTTTCTCATCAGCGCTTCTTATCTCCTCCTTGCCACACTACATGCCTCTGTATAAGGCATGTTTGTCCAATTCTGCCCCTCTAACAAGAGTAGTATAAAGAAAGAAGTAGAAATTATGTGGATATGTATATGTTCTAGTTTATATGAATACACATGAGCACACTGATATTTGACCCAGAGGTGTTGTCTTTCAGCTTTATACCATCAGACAGCCGCTGAAGGCAAAAGAACAAAGGTTTTAATGGAGTGCGCGTTTGTCAACTATCCTGGCAAAATATTGCACACAGTGTATTGAAAGTATTCATTTGACGCACATCAATTTCATTCAAGATGGCCACCATAGCTAAGCAACCTTAAGCAAACAGAAAAAGCTATAACTCAGTCAATTTTTACATTTATTAAGATAAATTTGGTGTAGTTGTAGCCGAGTCATCCTCAACTTATGCCCAAAGAACTGATTGCCTAGTATCTGTTTTAAAGCTTATGTTGTTGTTATACAAGTTATTTAACAAATACAGCAATATGGGAGTTAGGGAATCTGATACACACAATTCTACTTTATTATTATTATTTTCCAATTGACATTACTTATTGCGAATAGCACTGTCACTGCTTAACTTAATGAAGCTTGTCTTTTCCTAAATTTCATCCATCCATCCATCCATCCATCCATTTTCTTCCGCTTATCCGGGGTCGGGTCGCGGGGGTAGTAAGTAGGGAGGCCCAGACTTCCCTCTCCCCAGCCACTTGGTCCAGCTCTTCCGGGGGAATCCCGAGGCGTTCCCAGGCCAGCCGAGAAACATAGTCCCTCCAGCGTGTCCTGGGTCTTCCTCTGGGCCTCCTTCCGGTGGGACGTGTCCGGAACACCTCACCAGGGAGGCGTCCAGAAGGCATCCTAAACAGATGCCCAAGCCACCTCAACTGGCTCCTCTCGACGTGGGGAAGCAGCGGCTCTACTCTGAGTCCCTCCCGGATGATCGAGCTTCTCACCCTGTCTCTAAGGGAGAGCCCAGACACCCTGCGGAGAAAACTCATTTCGGCCGCTTGTATCCGAGATCTCATTCTTTCGGTCACAACCCAAAGCTCGTGACCATAGATGAGGGTGGGAACGTAGATTGATCGGTAAATTGAGAGCTTCGCCTTTTGACTCAGCTCTCTCTTCACCACAACAGACCTGTACAGCGCCCGCTTCACTGCAGACGCTGCACCTATCCGCCTATCGATCTCACGCTCCATTTTTCCCTCATTCGTGAACAAGACCCCAAGATACTTGAACTCCTCCACTTGGGGTAGGACCTCCTCCCTGACCCGGAGAGGGCACTCTACCCTTTTCCGGCTCAAGACCATGGCTTCGGATTTGGAGGAACTGATCTTCATCCCGGCCGGGTCGCATTCGGCTGCGAACCGCTCCAGCGAAAGCAGTAGATCACAATCTGATGAAGCCAATAAGACCACATCATCTGCAAAAAGCAGAGACGCAATCCTAAGGCCACCAAAACATTCCTAAATTTATATTTATAAAATATATATTATATATAAAAACTTGTGAGACCCCGTATCATTGGTTTCAGACTGTTTTTCTTATTAAAATAAACCAAATTTAAAGTTTTATTTATTTATTTTTTAACTATTTTTAAATTATACATGAGGTGGAACGAAATTGTGTACCCAAGGTCCCAGTTACACCCAAAAATAGCAAAAAAAAGAATACAAAGTATAAAATGAAACAGTATACAAGGTTGTAAGATATACACTAAACACAATTTACTTTAACTAATCCTAAATAGCTAGGGGAAATTAAAAATAGCAAACCAACCAAAAGCTTTGGACTCGAGGACAAAACTACAGGCCAAGGGGGACGAGTGGGGGCCATCAATGTTTTAGGGGTGGCTATTGTCCCCCCCACACCCCCCACTTATGGCACCCCTGTTCTTCAAGCATTTGTTGGCCTTTAATTTTGTGTACAAAGTTTGATACATTAAAAAATAAAGCTAATACATTCACTTCAATCCTCTGAGACCAAGCTTATTCAAATATTAAAACAAGTGTTGCCAGATGTATTTTATAGGTTTTGGTCTGTGTGTGGTTCCTCATAAATGACAAGATATAAAAGTTCTTATTTTTACGAGCTGTCCCACTAAATGTAGTCTGAATCGTTTGCATAGTGTTTGCTTGTTCAGCTGCTGTCTTGTTCACTGGTAAAGAGTGTAAAAAGAAACACACAATATAGGCTTAAATGTCTAGCAACACTGTGCCAAACACCACACAAATAAAGCATGTCTGAGCTAATTAAGAGGTTTTAAAAGCGAGTTGTGTTTGTCTGATTCTGCATCACCAACCACAGTTAATAAAAGCCAGCTGATAGTTGCTGGGAGTGTGACTTTCTAGTTTTGCTATAAAGTGAGAGAAAAAGATAAAACAGAGAGAAACAAAGAGGCTTGCTTTGACAACGCTACTCTTGCCTTTTTACAACACCAAAAAGTGGGCTAGAAACGGTTTCTCCTGGTGGCTTTAACCGAGTTTGCTGTGTGGTCCGCTTAAAGGGTTAAAACCCAAAGTGAACTGAATTGTAAGAAGTTGGTTTCCAAGGGAAACTGTTCGCACCGTTCCAGCTGAGGCGGAACGTACCAACTGCGTGACACGGAGGGGGTAGGGGTGACCCGGAAGAACCAAAGATTAAATCCTCACTTTATCGTTTTGTCAATGTCTAAATTAGCATTTAGATGCAATAAATCATATTTGAAAAAACGTATGTCGCAGTGATTATATAAGAAGTGAGCGTTTGACCGGGTCAGATAGACATTTGCACTTCCGTCGACCCCTCCTGTTTAGCCGGAGTGCTGGGGTTCCTGCCAAGTCGGTTTGAAAAGAGCAGACAAAGGCTTTGAGCCCAGGACGCCCCTCTCTGCCTCTCACTCTGTACAAAGACAGCCCAACTCTCGTCTTTTCTGCTCCCCTGTCATGGAGCCGTTTTGTAACAGGCGGCGTTGAGGGTGCCGCTTTTTGTTTTTTCCTCTCGTTCTGAAATGTACGACCGTCTGGATCCCCGCTCGGCGGCGAGAGGAAGGCTTTTTGTGGGTCTAATACAAGGAAGCGTCGTCTGAGAGAGGGGGGACGGATAGACGCCTTTTCCTCCTCCTCCTCCTTCCTTTTGCCCCCTTTCCTGCTCTTTTTTGGCAGATAGTGGGGTTGAAACTGGAGTAAACGCTTTATTTTGTTTATCTTTGCTCCTATAAAAACATTTGAATCCTGCTGCGCAACCACACCGGATCACGTGGCACTGGAAAAGAGTTGAATCGATTTTTGCACAGTTCTGTCAGTGAGGGGGAAAAGAGAGGAACGCACAACTCTTTCCTTTCTACTTTTGCAGATAACTGGGACTGTTGATACTTCTGCATAATCCTGAGAGCCTAAGGTGTTGAAGAGGGTTCATTTTTTTCACCCTTGGAGGTTTGGAGTATTGATTCTTATATGCCTGGGGTTTGAAAAACAATGGAGACGCACATTTCGTGCCTCTTCCCGGAAATTTTGGCTATGATTTTCAGTTATCTGGACGTGAGGGACAAAGGCAGGGTAGCCCAAGTATGCATCGCTTGGAGGGATGCGTCCTACCACAAGTCGGTGTGGAGGGGGGTCGAAGCCAAGCTGCACCTCCGCCGGGCAAATCCATCCTTGTTCCCAAGCCTTCAGGCCAGGGGCATCCGGAGGGTCCAGATCCTGTCTCTGCGCCGCAGCCTGAGCTATGTCATCCAAGGGATGCCCAACATCGAGTCCCTTAATCTGTCCGGCTGCTACAACCTGACGGATAACGGGCTGGGCCACGCATTTGTGCAAGAGATCCCATCGCTGAGGGTTTTGAACCTGAGTCTTTGCAAGCAGATCACGGATTCCAGCTTGGGCCGAATTGCCCAGTACCTGAAAAACCTGGAGGTGCTGGAGCTTGGTGGCTGCAGCAACATCACCAACACTGGGCTTCTGTTGATAGCGTGGGGCCTCCACAGACTTAAGAGCCTTAATCTGAGGTCCTGCAGGCATGTCTCAGATGTGGGAATTGGACATTTGGCGGGTATGACCCGTAGTGCAGCAGAGGGCTGCTTAAACCTGGAGTACCTGACTCTCCAAGACTGTCAGAAACTGACAGACCTGTCACTTAAACATATTTCCAAGGGGCTGACCAAGCTGCGGGTGCTGAACCTGAGCTTCTGTGGTGGGATCTCAGATGCTGGGATGATCCACCTGTCCCACATGACCTCCCTGTGGAGCCTCAACCTACGCTCTTGTGACAACATCAGTGACACGGGGACTATGCACCTTGCCATGGGCACTCTCAGGCTCTTTGGACTCGACGTTTCTTTCTGTGACAAGATCGGGGACCAGACACTTGCATACATAGCTCAGGGGCTGTACCAGCTGAAGTCCCTGTCCCTGTGCTCGTGTCACATCTCTGACGACGGGATCAACCGGATGGTGAGGCAGATGCACGAGCTGAGGACCCTGAACATTGGACAGTGCGTGCGCATCACAGACAAAGGGCTGGAGCTCATAGCGGACCACCTGACCCAGCTGGTGGGCATCGACCTGTATGGATGTACCAAGATCACCAAGAGGGGACTGGAGAGGATCACCCAGCTCCCCTGCCTTAAAGTGTTGAACCTGGGACTCTGGCAGATGACGGAGAGTGAGAAAGTTAGGTGATTGGAAGAGTTTTAGGAGTCTGTGTGTTTTTTCATTTTATTTTATTTTTTGGTTTCTGTTTGGAAAAAGGAACACAAAAGCAGGAAGTTGGGCTAAAAAGTTGATTTTTCATCACTTAATTAAAAAAGAAGAACCTTCTTGCCTCCTCCATGTGGCTAGATTTTCTTTTATTTTGTTGCAGGGTTTAAAATTTATATCCGTGATATAATTTAATCCGCCTGATAGATAGCAATTAACTTTTGTTATGGGTTCCTGTTAAATGTTTAGATTTGATATTAAGTTTTAATACCCCGCAAAATTGGATCGAGGACTCGATTGACGTAGAAAGGCAAACTTAATCTAGTTTTCTTATGAGGCTACTTCATCTCTCTTCCAGGAAACTGGAAATCAAATGTTTTCATCTATAGGTATAAAACTTGTGAGATTTTATTTTTGCTACGAGTCTGGATTTGACGACCACTCTCCGCCACAGCCATCGCGCCTGGAAAACATTTGGCTACCTCGTATGTTGGTTATTTTTAAAAAGGTTGTTTACTGTTACAAAGAAAGAAAGCCGGGAATGAGAGACTGGTAGAAAATGTGCCTAAAGGGACTATGTCTGCCCCCTCCCCCAGCCCTTCCCTCCCTCCCTCCTTCGGCAAGCAGAGAAAGGGAGACCGGTGCACAATATAAACTACCTTTTGTTAATTTACCCCAGTAAACAGCAAGGATTTTCCCTTAAAAAGCTCCAAAATCCAGTCAGATTACAAGCGAATGCCGCTTTATGCAAAATTCATAAAACCTGCTATGATTCAAAAGGTTTTTATTGTTTGTTTCCTTCATTCTTTAAGGGATAAAGTCCAACTTTAAACCTCTTTTGATCATTTAAAAGGCGATTATGACCCTGGCAGGAGAACCTATAATGTAGGTCCTTACAGGATTATTAGGCTGTAGGTATTTTTATAAGGGATGCTGATGGAGATAAAATGTCTGCATGTTGTTCAGAGTACTTCAAATTGAAGTGATTTCTATCTCTTACCCTTTATTGATGAAAATTAATCAGGGTCTGTGTCATGGTTTGGTTTTCCCACATTAATACCGACTCAGTTTGTGTTGCTCTCATCGGTGCACAGCGACTAGGGCAGGGATTTTTTGTTTTTCCACCATCCTCCCTGTTTTTTTTAACCCCATGGAATTAAAAATTATCCCTGAATCCATCTCGAGATATGCTTAGAATAAAAAACAATCGATTATTTTCCTCCTCCCGCTCCCGTCTCAAGTTACAACAAGCAGAATGCGTCTTGCTTTTCTCCCCCTCATCTCATCCTTACTTCACACACAGATTTAGGCTGTACACACATGCACACGCTCACACTGACGCCAGTGTGTGCGCATTTTAATAAAATGCAATGACCTGCTAGAAAATGAATATACGGATGTGCGTCCTGCTGAACAAGCTGTGTGTTTGATGATAAAAAGATGTACTGTATATTGTGTTTGTAAAAGAAAAAAGCAGAATCCCAAATTAAATTGTTTTATATTCTTACGGTTAAAGCAATTAAAGATATTTATATAATGAACAAAAGAGCTGTGTGGTTTGTGTTGTCACCGTGAAGTCTGAACATTTAACAAGATTATTTTAAAATCTTTTGTTTGAATACCCACACATTTAGGACTATTGTCCCCGATCCGTCCAGTCTTCTTTATCAAAACAGCTTGAGGAAAAAAAAAAATCCGATTTGTTGTTTATTTATTTATGAGGAGACTCAAAATGGATGCTTGCTGTCTTGATTTGGCTGCACTGCCTGAGTAATTAATTATCACAGTGGCGTTTATATAGCACGCTGCTCTGCCCTGTTGATTTTTTTTTTTTTAATCATCAACGTCTTCTTTAAAAGAAAAGTGAAAACGAATTTAAAACTGATTTTGTAGTGAATTTCACAAAGATTTGGTGGGTTTTGTTGTGCTTCACATATTGTCGAGCTGCGTCCGCTCCATGTGCACAGTAATGGGATCTAAAAGTTGGAGTGGGGTGGTGGTGGTGGGGTGGGGGGTGTCTTCATCTGCTTTCCATCAGGACATGTCCTGTATATGAAGTGACACACAGGGTTTGCCAGGCCAGTCAGGGGCCATTGTCCGTCTTTAGAAGTTAGCAAGGCAGGTTTTCATGTATTTTTCCCTCCTCTTTCTCCTTTTGTTCAGTCATGCATACCAGATCCTAGACCCCCCCTTCCCCTTTCACCCCCTCCTTACTCCCCCACACACTCCTTTTAGCATTCCTCGCCATCATTCAGAGCATTTAGGCATTCTCCTGACTGTCCGTGGGGATTTGGGGATAAAGGCCAGCCAAGAGGGATCGTTGACCACGGGGACAATAATAATAAAAAAAAGACACAATATCAATGTTTGGGGTTTATAAGTTCCTGAGCTGGCCTACCATTGCACACCAACTTGTTGGGAAATTGGGTCTTGCAATGCTCAAATCCTAAACAAGAAAAAAAACAGCGTTCATCATTACAACTCAAAAAGTAATATTTAGCATATGCCTTTGATAATGTGAAAACGTGTGTTGGGTTAGAAGAATAAACTGTAGCTCGTACAGCTGCAATTTATTCATTAAATAAGAAGCAGAGTGGGAGGTCCACAGGACCACTGATTGGTTCTTATCGTTTGACATTTGGTGTGCAGACTTTGTCCCGACAGATACACAAGACGGGGTTGTATTCCTGCAGAAAAGGTCTGCAGGACGAAACGTAGACTGACGAAGATACAATCAGCTGCTTTCAAATGATAATGTGATACTTTATTAATCCCCACAGGGAGAATCTCCTTTTCAGGTCTGCTACCCTCCTCAAAGAGGTCAGAGGTCAGGCTCGGCTGCAGAGCACCGCCGCTGGAGAGGTTTGCTCAAGGACACATCAGCAGGGCAGGAGGTTGGATTAAGCTGTGGATGTGAGGAAGGGATTCTTTATTACATAAAAAGCGTAAAAGCCTTCAACCCTTGAATGATTGGTGAGACAATTTAAATTAGCTGGATGAATAAACTCAGCTGTGGGGTTTGATTTTCACTGAGCTACCAGGATATCGTGTGCAGGGTAACTGCACAATGAGGTAATTTGTTAAGAAAATATTACTGCAGTCATGTTTTAAAACAGTTCACTATGAGCTCAGTACCAGAAAATAAACTTCATATTTTCTTCTTAGAGGCGGTTCCTCTTCCTTTTTGGTAACAAACTGCCAATAAGAATATTTCTGCACTTAGTTATTCCTCCTGAGCGTTTTCTGCTTCCAAATCTTCCAGACCCGTTTACTAATGTAGATTTTCTTGCCCAGAGTTTGATAAAGTTTCTTTCTCAAACTGTGACTAACACCTGGTTTTTACAGATATACGTCGAGTGAAAAACTTTGCGTCAAGGATGCTTTCAGTCTTTGCAGGTGTTGATTGTCTCCAGATCCCGACAAATGTGACATGAACACCTGAGTGAACACCAGGAGTTTTGTACGCCAAAGACTTTACTTTTATTAACACAAACCCAGCCCATTATAGGTCTACAGATAAAAAAAAACCCATTACAGATCAAATTTACCTGGTTAAAATAAAATACAGATTGTTGCCTCTCTCAAGTTTTAGACTAAAAATCTTAGTCTTATCCTGAGAGTTGCAGTCGTTTTGGTGAAACTAAATGACTAAATGAACGACCTCATTTGATGATATGGGATTTTACCAGATGTGATAGTGCTCAGACAATGAGTTTAGGATGACTCAGCACATTCTCAACACACAATTTAGCTCACTGTAAGTTTGACAGAGTAGTTGCATTTTTTTGTGTTGGGTAAGTTCAATAAGCTGTGGTGGCCATCTTGAACCGAGTTGACTTCAAATGTTAAGTGTTACGGCGCTTTGCCACAGTCTCAACTCTCATCGGTTCTGGACCGATGCACTGCCGGTACCAACTCCCACTCAGCCCAGTTTATGGGACCATCTTGTCCGTGACTCCAAGCGAACAGCTCCCAGGTGACGATTTTGACGTACGCAGGCAGCAGCCGTTGATTGGCCAGTGGAGCTCCGTCACAGGATGACCTGCCCTATTAGCTTTTTTCAAGTTCTAGTTTCTAGTTCAGTATGGAAGCTCCAAAAATAGTGCTGTGGACTAACGGCGAGGTCCAGACCTTTTTTTTTTGGGCAGATCAGAGGATTCAATGCAAGCTGGATGGTTCTACAAGAAACGAGCAATTTTACCGTGAGATATCAGAGATGATGGCGCAGCATGACTACACCTGGACTTTGAAGCAGTGCCTTGTTAAGATAAAAAATACTGAAGACAGATTCCAGTTACAGTGCTCACCCAATTTGCATTGACGATCATGTCCACAGAGCGGGGAAACAAGTCACAGAGACATCTCACCTACAGATGATAAGAACTGATGAGACGAGCACAGACTCGAGTTACTAATCAAAAGGCAAAGAGACTTTAGATCGACTTTTGTGGACTCGCTCTTTCGCAGTTTTTCCAACGACTGTCAACTTCAACATTACTCACGTTATTGGGACGATATGACATAAAAAGTTATGGGGAAAAAAAACTTAGGACAGGCACCGCCATTTTGTAGTTTTCATTGAATATGCCTGTGCTGAACGCTAGTCAAAAAGAACTACACTACCCAGAAGCCAACAGTGTTTCTGGCCGCTGCTTTCTGACTGAATGGAGGGAAAGTTTTGCAACACAAAGTCAGAAGTTCACAGAACTGGCAGGAAGGTCACAAATAATCCTGACGCTGAACTCATCCTTCAAGTTGTATCTTCACTGGTGAGTAGCTGGACTGCAGCTGATCTGGACTCAGTGTGACCCGGATCCTGTGGGCTGCAGGACACAGACGGCAATGAGGTTCGGCCTGGTTCTGGTCACACGGTGCTGGTCCAGACCTGGGCCGAGGTGGTGGACTTAATCCTGGGCAGCCTTGTACGCGGAGTGTCCTTTCTGGAGCAGCAGCATGCACACATCAACCTGGACGGGGCGGTGGGCTTCGTCATGCTGCAGGGTAGCACCAGAACCGAGCCCGACCGGAACAGAGCTTCTGCAGAGCTGGTGAGTACCCATAAAAAATGTTGCAGTACTGTACAGTACATATATGTATGTTGTTAAAATTAACGTAGGTTTAAGTGTTTAGAACATTGCAAGAGTGTGTGAAGGGTTTATAAAGCCTTAAAAAATAAAAAAAATTATATATAT